TTTCTAAGAAAGATTGGCCAAAGGCCATCTTGGCCTCCAGTCACTCCTCAGTGACTGGTAAGCCCTCCACTCTTTCTTTCTCCACTTTGATGAATAACAGTCAGCTTATATTTAATATGACTTCTCCCCTGATTATTGGAATAGCCTCTCAGCTGATTCCTCTGCTTTCCCTCTTGTCCTCTCTCCATCACTTGCCCAGTCTGTTTTCAACATAGCAGCCAAAGTGATATTGCTAAAACATAAACTAAATGATGTAATTTTCTGTTCAGAACACTCCAATGGCTTGCCATTTTCTCAGAAGAAAATCCAAATCCTTATAATAAACAATACTAACTTCTGCTTGTATCTACCATATAATCTTTTGAAATAGAAATATCCTGCATGACAGTGATTCAGAACTATTTCATTATGTAGGGTAACATCTGCATGGACTTCCTATCTTCTCTCACTTCTCCTGAGCACTGTTTATGACAAAAATAGCATCATTGGAATAAATGATAGGTACTACTATTGATGAAATATCAATGAAGTGATAGCTAGGTTTTACTATATTAGAATTAAAGGATTCCTACAGGAATCTAAGCATATGTAGACTTCTGTAGACTACCAATCAGACTAAATTTTGAAATCTACTATTCTATAAAAGAGCATGAACACTCTTCCCAAAAGATAATTTTTTCATTTTTCCCAGCCATCAGAGATGTATTATATTATTACACTTACTTTGTGATTGAAGAGTAAGTTGATAGGAGAAAATTCCAGTTTGATTAATGTAAAGGGAACTAGACAAACAAGAGCTCTCATGCACTTCCTCTATTCCAAAAGGGTCTATCACTTCTGCAATAACTGAGGACAAAAATCCTTCAGGAGTGTCATGTTGCAATATTTTTTTTATGTAAGCCATTCCAGTTTTCCTAAAAGACAAATCAACACGCATCAGTCAATTTGGATAAAACAGTGGCCTAAATAAGCAAGTTTATGAACATATAGTTTACAAATAAAATATACCATAAATGGCTAACAAATGAAAATTTGAGTAACATTTGTTCAACCTCATTAGTAGTCGATAAAATGTCAATTATAGCAGTGGGATACAATTTTTCACCTATCAAATTAGCAAAGACTTTTTAAAAGACAGGGTTTAGTCGTGGCAGGAACTGAGTGGAGATAAGAATTCATCCACCACTAATGGGATGGTAAAGTGTTACCAGATTCCTAAGAAGCAGTCTGACATTATGCATTAAGAACTCTAACATTATTTTTTCCCCTTTGATTCTATAAATCTACTGAGAGGACTCTCTCCTAAGTTAATAACTTGAAATATAGTGGTAAGAAAAGCTTTCTACACGAAGATGTTCATAATAGCATTATGATGAAAGTTAGAAATAAAAATGCCAACAACAGGAAAATTAAGTAAATGATATATTTGATCCATTTAGACAAAATGCATCTATTAAAATGTCACTTAAGAAGAGTTTTTAACTACATAAGGAAAGTCATCTTATTAGAGTGTCTGAAAGAAGCATGGTGAAAAATGCTAAAATGCGTATCAAAAAGGACTTATCAGTAATTCATCAAAATGTTAACAGTCATGATGTCAATTGTCTTCTTTACATTTCACTGTCTTTTAGGAAATTTCTACAATAAGCACGTAGTCTATAATCAAGAAAAACAATGTTAAGCTAGGATTCCACATGCAAAAAAATAAATAAATCTAGACACAGACTTTACACTCTTCACAAAAATGAACTCAAAATAGATTATAGATTTAAATATAAAATGCAAAACTCTAAAACTTCTAGAAGATAACATAGGAGAAGATCTAGATGAACTCAGGTATGGTGATGACTTTTAGGTATAACAGTAAGGACACAACACATGAAATTAAAAATTGACAACTATACTTTATTAAAACTAAAAACTTCTGCTCTGTGAAAGACACTGTCAAGATAATTAGAAGATAAGCCACAGACTGGGACATAATAGCTGTGAAAAATGTATTTGACAAAGGGCTGTTATCCATAATAACCTGTAGGGGAGGAATGAAACCTCTTTTCCCTCGACACTCCTAGATTTTGTGCCTAGGACCCAAGAAATTAAACTGACAAAAGACAGGCTAACAGCAGAAAATGAACAGTTTATTAGTGTGTGTCATGCTTACACAGGGGGAAAACCTCAGTGATGATTAACAGGTGGTTAGAACCTGGGGCTTATATAACATCTTTTTTTTTAACTTTTTTAAAATTTATAATCATTTTACAATGTTGCGTCAAATTCCAGTGTTCAGCACAATTTTTCAGTTATACATGAACATATATATATTCATTGTCACATTTTTTTCTCTGTGAGCTACCATAAGATTTTGTGTATATTTCCCTGTGCTATACAGTATAATCTTGTTTATCTAGTCTACAATTTTGAAATCCCGTCTATCCCTTCCCACCCTCCGCCCCCTTGGCAACCACAAGTCTGTATTCTATGTCTATGAGTCTATTTCTGTTTTGTATTTACGCTTTGTTTTTGTTGTTGTTGTTGCTTTTGTTTTTTAGGTTCCACATATGAGCGATCTCATATGGTATTTTTCTTTCTCTTTCTGGCTTACTTCACTTAGAATGACATTCTCCAGGAGCATTCATGTTGCTGCAAATGGTGTTATGTTGTTGGTTTTTATGATTGGGTAGTATTCCATTGTATAAATATACCACATCTTCCTTATCCAGTCACCTGTTGATGGACATTTAGGCTATTTCCATGTTTTGGCTATTGTAAATAGTGCTGCTATGAACATCGGGTTAATAAAGAACAATAAGACTATAGAGAAGTGAAAACATAAAGGAAAAAGGGCTAAGGCTTTTAGGGGTGGCAAACTGTGGAAAAGTAAATACATATTGGAAACTACTGGAAGATAAGGGTTGTTTTCAGTCATGCCTGTTGTGTAGATTTCTCTTGGTGTCTCTGGACTGGTAAGTCTCCAGCTGTCTCTAGTGATTAAGAATCACCCTGTCCTTCTTGGTAGAGAGGGGGAGGGCAAAGAATTTTTTCATGTGTCTGCTTCTTTTTCAATTACCTTCAGCTAAAAAGAATCTTTATGCCAAAGTGGTTTATTTTGGATTGGCATATGCTAATCCCCTACGATACAAAGAACTCTCAAAACTCAAACAGTAAGAAAACAAACAACTTAGTTAAAAAATGGGCAAAAGAGCTAAATAGACATCTCACCAAAGAAGACATGCAGATGGCAAATAAGGATATGAAAAGGTGTCCATAATCATCACGTAGCATCAGGACACACAAATTAATACAACCATGAGATACCAATACACACTTATTAGGATGGTAAAAGTCCAAAATACTGACACCACCAAATCCTGGTGAGGATGTGGAGCAACAGGAACTTTCATTCATTGCTGGTAGGAATGCAAAATGGTACAGCCAGTTTGGAAGGCAGTTTGGTAGTTTCTTACAAAACTAAACATGCTCTTACCACATGATCCAGCAAAGTCCTTGGTATTTATCCAAATGAGTTAAAAACATACCCCTACACAAAAACCTGAATTAGGATGTTTACAACAGCACAATTATTCAAAACTGCCAAAACTTGGAAGCAACCAAGATGTCCTTCAGTAGGAGAATGGATAAATTAACTGTGGTGCATCCATACAAGGGAATATTATTCAGTGGTAAACAGAAATGAGTTATCAAGTCATGAAAAGACATGGAGGAAGCTTAAACGCCTATTACTAAGTGAAAGAAACCAATTTGAAAATCCTACACACTGTGTGATTCCAACTGTACGACACTGGGAAAAAGGGAAAATAATGAGACCATATAGACGTCAGGGGTTAGGAGGAAGGGAAGAATTGGTGGAGCACAGAGGACTTTTAGGGCAGTGAAACTATTCTGTGTGATAC